AAAAAAAGGGTCATAATGTATAGAAGATGCATATTCAAACTTTTTTGACCTTACCCATCTTACAKATTTAGTTCAAATTTAGTCCACATTCTTTGCAGACCTGCCTTGATCGCTCACTTTTTCTCCTGACTGTATCCCTGTTTGGGAATGTGCTTTTTATTACCTCTTATTTTTAAGCTCTTTTTTTTCTTGATTCATTTTAAATTATGGGTACCCCATAGTTCAGTAGCTTCCCTCTATGGTTTGTATCTGGACTATTCCCCCAAAGCTCATATATTAGGCAATGCAGCCATGATCAGAGGTTAAATGATTGTATCATGAGGTCTGCAACCTCCTCAGTGGATTAATCCATTTGGTAGATTAATAATTTGAAAGGACTCCTGGGTGATAACTATAAGCAGATGGCTGGAGGAAGTTAGTCATTGGAGGAATGACTTTGGGGCTATTTCTGTCCCTGACCCCTTCCCATCTCTCTCTGCTTCTGGCTATCATGAGCCGATCAGCTTTCCTCCATCCTGCTATTCTGCCATGGTGTTTCTGCCTTGGAACCTGCTGACCATGGATTGAATTCTCTGAAACTGTGAGCCAAAACTAGAACTTTCCTCCTCTGAGTTGTTCTTGTCAGGTATTTTGGTCACAGTGATTAAAAGTGGACTAGCCTACTTCCTAATATGTTTCTAAAGAATATCACAGTTTGTAATTTCTATTATTCTTTGTAGTATCTTGTAAGGATAAGCACAAAAAAGTTCAATAAAATATCTAGTTATTTTTTAATTGATCCTACTTGGAAGTATTGMTTGCTTAAGGTTTTTAAATAATAAATACTTCTTAGCCGCCCTATATCTGGACAAAATATTACCTAGATATAATCTAMGTAATTTTCAGATTTTTCTACTATGTGATTAGTCATAGTATTAACACATTTCCCACAACTATATCTGAACACAATTAATTATGATAAATGATTTTTATAAATTGGAGTTATCAAGATTAATATCTCTTTTGAAGGAGAAAGTGTAGAATGAAATAAATTTTTAAAATGAACAGTCAATTTTTTTTAGACAAGAATGCACATGCATATCAAATCAAAATAAGAAACACCTAGYTAAGGCAATATAGTCCCCAAGTGTTCTTCATCAAGAGTCTGTGCTGAAGCTTTATTAAAAAAATACAGTTCAACTCMGATTATTACAGTTGATCCTTTCCATGTCTTACAGATTTTGCTGTAAGACATGGAAATATTCATCCATTGTTAATATTGTTAATATTCATCCATTCATATAAAAATATATTGTGAGCACATWTCATATACCAGGTAATGAAAATAAACTGGACATAACAGGGATCTTAGAGTGTTCTCAATATGTTCCTAATTTTTATTTTGTGGAAATTTCTAAATACCTTAACTTTTAAGCAAWAAATGTATCGCCCATAAGTAGTTGAAAGTTCTTCAATGCAATGATTCAGGGAGTTGTTTTTACTCATTTAGGCAATAGTGATAGGGTTGACCTCACAGATACTTACAAAATGTTGGGCATAACATGTAATTATACAGATAAATGTGTTGTTCTGGTTTTCCTGATTGGTCAGAGTACTGACCAATTGCTGTCGTCATCATCCCAACTCTTTGTGAACTAGATTGCTGGGCGTTATATAATTGACATCAATGATTCTTGTTGACAAAGCACTGCCTTCCTTCTTTATTGATCTATCATCTATCATCTATCTATCTATCTATCTATCTATCTATCTTTCTCTTTGCAGTAGAAACTTACCTATATGGCAATCATAAGAAGATATTGGTCCCACATCATCTCCTACAGCTATGGACATTCATCATTGGCTATAATAAATCAGAGAATCCCATTTTCTGGCTATAGTTATGAAAGAATTGAAAGAATGGACAGATGATTTACACCAGCTAAGTCAGAGTCATCCCCAGAAATATACTACAATAGCTGTTAATATGGGAAGATTTTTTTCACAAGAGGTGATGACTTTTAGAAAATCATGAATATAAAATTATATGGTCAAGTTTCATGTTTTGAAGGCAGAAAAAATACTTAGGATAAAATCAAACAGATCCTAAATGGAGGCAGGGGGAATGAACCCAAATAACGTTTCTTGATCCCTGAATCCAAGAGAAAAAAAAATCAGCCAATCAAGAATACACAGCAAATACCAGAGAAGATCAATGTGTAAAGAGAGAAGGCTKATTTTGGCTCAAAATTTGAAGATTCCAGGCCATAATAAAAAAGAGCCATTGTTTTCAGGCTTCTGATGAGGGCAATGTCAGAGGTGGATGCTCCCCTTATGGCTAGGAAGCAAGAGACTGAGGAGGGAGCTGTGGCCACATTGCCTTTAAGGGCATTAGTCCAGTTATCTTAAGGATCTCTCAAGAACCTACCTCCTTAAGGCTCCAGTGTCTCCCAATAGCAACACCTTGAACTGACTTATCCACCTCSACCTTTGTGGGAAACTCAAGATCCAAACTTAGCAACTACTGTCTTAAAGCAAGTTTTCTCAGGTAGCTCTAACAAATTACCATAGATTGGGTAGGATAGATGATCATCATGTACTTTTCACATTTCTAGAGACTGAGAAATCTAAGATCCAGGTACTGGCAGATCCACTATCTGGTGAAGACAGATTACTGTCTTCTCATTGTGTCCTTGCATGGTGGAAAGGAGAGAGGAAAGAACAAACTCCTTATTGTCTTTTCTTATAAAGGTAGTAATCCTAACAAAAGGACCCCACTTTCAGGAGTAATTACCTCCCAAAGGCACAGCCCCTCACTCCCATCCCATTGGTCATTAAGGTTTCAACATATGGTTTGGGGGAACACATATGCATGCAGTCCATAACAAATTCCAACCAAAAATATCTAATTAATATGCCAAGCTTTCTTCTAAAACTCATAMACAGTTGAGTTTGGGTTCCATACCAAAGGATCATTCTCTGGCTACTGTAGAGCAGTTTTAAGATATTACACTGGACAGAGTTTAAAATGCACCTGCTTCCAAATGAATTCAATGACCCAGAGACCTGCTCTTCTGATTTAGAGGTTATTTATAATCCTCAGTATTATTTACCCATGGCCATGGACAAAATTGGCTAGAGAGTCTCTAAAAATCTTTCTTCTATACAAAGATCTGCTTTTCTAATCTGAGGTCAAATTTATATAAGTCAGAAATCTTTATACCACTTTGCTTTTTTATTAAGAATTATGATTGACTAAGTCAGTGTCAGACCTAGGGCATGAGGATTGGTAAAAGCTCTATTCCTAGTGTCCAGCAATATTTATCCTGGCACTATGTAAGAATGTTGATGTCATCCAAAGCCATTTTTATTAAGGAAGTCATTTGAACCTCAACCAAAGAATGCACCTTATAGAGCGATCTTTGCTTTTTTTTTTTTTTTGCCTCAATTTTGTTATAAATAAGCAAAGAAATCCACCTACTAATTTCATGGATCTAGAACTGTGCCAGAGTCAGTATGTAYACAGCTCTGTTCAAAACTTTTAAAGATGTGTTAAACAAAAGAAATACTGAGACAATGAATCTAATACTAAGTAAGTTCTGTCACTTACCCCAATACTGACTGAAACTCTCACCCTTCCTTTACCTCTGGAAGAGCATTCTATCTTTTGTCTTCCTCTATGGAATTTTYGGGGCTATTCTTATTTTCTTTCCTCCCAATTGCTTTTCTCATTCTTTCATTCTTTCTTCAAGTCTCATTTTTCATATTACTTTTTCCCYTTCTATCTGTGGAACTTTCCCTTCTGTCTTTCTTGTGCTAAAATTTTAGGGTTCTAATCTTTCCCTTCTTCTCTGCTGTCTAAAGCCCTTTCTGGTTTTGTAGATTTGACAGGCTTTTCATTATAAATATCGTTTAACAGTAAAGTCACTTTTTTTTCTGGTAATTGAACTGATGGAATAGCCTATATAATTCTTAAAGCAAGGCCTTATTATTTGAATGAATCCCAAGGTAACTGTGTTAATAACATGTTCCCACCCACCCCCCAAGATGTTGGCCTGTGACCATGTACAAAAGCAAATCCTTATGCCACCTGGTGTCTATGAAGAAAAGTACAGTCAGAAACATTAAAACTACCTTCAACCAACTCCTCAGATSCTGGATGAGTTATCCTTTTTATTCTATTCATATGAAATGTCCTTCATCTGAACCTCCCCACTGAGTCACACTGCAATTAGCTGGACAGAAATTTGTCACTCCTAATTCATACATCCTAAGACCACATTCCATTCCATCTCCTAGGAAAAAAGATGCTTCCTGCATTCCCTCTTTTTGCTACTCACTGATATAAAATTGGATAAGCCTAGAGCTGGAAGTGAACTCAAAAAACATTAATRATTTAATGCACATTTTTCACAAAATTTAGCCAATAAATTAGCAATGGATTCATCAGAAAGCAGTCCCCTTTCTTCCCAATAAAAKGCTTCTCACGTTTGCCTAATATTCTTTCAAGAAGCATAGGATAAACTTTAAAAGATAAAACACAGCTAGAAGAAATAACTAACATAAGCAAAAGAAAGAACACAACTTGAAATCTATGAATGTATATGTAGCAATTTTTATAGAATTTGTTTTTAAAAAATGAAGATGATTGGCATTTATATGGTTGACTAAAACAAAATAGTGAGAAGTTGCCTGTTCTGTTCTAATGGAACTTGTCTAAGAGGCAGGGCAGCAATTGGGGAAGAACTAGGCAGAGGAAACCCAGGGCTAAACTGGATTGTTGGGGATGGCAAGTTGTCATTCAACAGGGGCCAAAATGTCATAAACTGGTACATTAACAGATATCCAAAGAGCTGCAAGTTTGGACATTGATATAATATAAGCAGCAGAGATATTAATACTCATAATCAGGCTTCTTACTCAGTCTTGAATGGCACAGCTGCCTCTATTTTTAGGCAGAAGGACTACTGAGATGAATCAGCATCTTATTAAGCTYCTGATTTTATTGGTGCAATGTAAGACTTGAGTCCCCGGAGCTGACTGTGCTCCAGACCCACCACCACCACCTCCCMAAAAAGAAAGAGGACAACAGTCTAAATTTTGAGTGTGGGACAACACAGGAGAGTATGCAGAACCTGGGACCAAGGCCAACCAGTCATGGTAGAAGGYTGTGGCAGAGGTAAGTGACTCAGGACACAGCACTCAGAAAGCAGAAGGAGAGTTCTGCTCATA